GCTCCACACGCTGCAACCCGGCCTGTTTGATTTGCTTGGCCTAGCTGCCGGCTCGGCTCTCACGCGTGCAAATGGCCTTCTCTCTCCTACATCGAGGGGAACGCTCCTAGGGTTCGTTTCTTTGGAGCCAGGCTCCCTCCGTCCTCGCGTGGGCAATTTCGAGGCAGCGGCGGCGGCGGCTCGCGCGGGCTCGTGCGGGAACCATGAAACTTCCTCCCACGCTCCTCCTCGGCGAAATCCGCTATCTTTATAAGCCGCCTCCCTCCACCGCTGCCTTCCTCTCCTTCCTCCAGCTCCGTCTTCTCCACTGCGTTCGCGTTGAGTGACCGGCGGTGTTAGTGTGGTGGTGGTGCGGCGCGGCAGTCTTCTTCCTCTCCGATCTTCGTCTCCATTCAGGCCGTCGGGATCCACTTGTCCGCGGCGCTGCTGCGCCTCCTGTCGGGCTTCGTGGACGCGGTCGTCTTCCTCCCGCGGTGGTGCGGCTGGTCTCGGTTGGGGTCGATCTGCTTCGTCCCGTACCGGATCTGCTTCATCTTCCACTGCGGCTCTTCTTCTTCTCTGTCTTGCGCTTCTTCCTGTCACCGTCGACTCCCCCGAGGTGAAATCCCCTTTGCTTTTGTGGCTGAACCGTCCGAAATAACACGCTTTCGGTGGCGCTCGTCTTTCACTAGACACTAAGCACCCCGAAAGTTAGCTATATCGGATAGTTCCGTCGAGCCCACCCCAAGGGAGAACTCAAAACAATCCACGTTTTACCGCCAGGATTCAATAATGAGTACGAGCTTACAACACTTAGTCCATTTCATACAACAAGAGTTTAAAAAAATTATTTATTACAATACCAAAGTTTAGAGTACGATAATTAAATAGCGGTGCTCTGGATCAGGCCATGGCTGGCTAGGGCCTGACTGACGGGTTCGGCCACCCCTGCGCCCTATATCAAACATGCCCTATACGAGAGGGACCGGCCGGGTTTGGAGGCCACGGAATGTATAGAGGAGGGTCGTAAAGCGACATGCATGGTACCTTCCTTTCGTATGTCTGCTGCTGTCTTGTCTTGCTCGCCGACCTTTAACTTTTTGACCCTGTCCTGCGTCACGCCAGCCAGCCATGGGGAGAAGAAGGCCGGCCGGTGGCCGGCGGTCGGTACAGCGTGTTGGTACTGAAGCTAGCTGCCGCTGCTTTCTTCGTCCCCGAGGTTAGAAAACGAGCGGCTGCCGTGCTCAGCTCGTCGTCACACTCGTCAAGGACAAAGTTACCGCCTTACCGGCACCCGCACCACTGCAGTGTCAAGCAAGTGCAGCAGCACTTGGACTTCCTGGGCGACAAATCTGGCCGCTTTGCGGCCCGCGTGAGCTCCTAGAGTCCTCCGATCCGATCCTCGCAGCACGCAGGTGAACTTCAGCTTTGAACTTTGGAAGGCACGCGACAGGGCACGCGACAGGTGCATGGATGAAAGCTTTATTTATTTGCACAAAGATGGTGGCGGATTGGATTGGGGTGAGGCAAGATCAAGAAAAGCTTTATTTACTTGCACAAAGATGGTGGCGAATTAATGGACCGGTTTCACTGTTTGGCATGACCAATTGCGGATCCACCGCATAGTGAAACCCTCCTGGCCTGCTTTGAACTTTGGCATGACCAATCGCTGTAGCTCTAGCTCTAGCTCTAGCTCCGACACTATAATAAAGTCGACAAAGAGCTAAAAATGTAATTTGGAGATGAGTTATTCGTGAACCCGAAAATAGATTTAATTTTATGGATTACTAGCATAACCCACAAAGATTAAGTCTATCTTATGTTTTCACGGACGACCAGTCTTGCATCTCATCTACTCTTTCTATTTTTCTATTACCTCCATCGGATACAATCTTGGGGGCCTAGATTAGATTAATTTTTAAGTTAACACTTATGACTTATTTAAAATTATAAGTGCTATTAGTTTTTTGTATATATATGGTTGAATTTAAAATTGGTTAACTTTCTAAAACGCTGGGATAGAAGATAGGAAATGTTCTTTTTGGCTGTAATCAGAGACTTCTTTTGTCTATATGCTATCACCCTCGTTTTGGCTTTTTCTAAGTATATATATAGCTTTTATTATGCATCTAGATATACGATATATCTAGTTGTGTAATAAAAGTTATGTATCTAAAAAGATAAATCAATCTATAAATTCGAATGGAGAGAGTAGTAATTTAGAGTGCTTCATGCGCAAGAGCCTTTTTTTAAGGGAATGCACAAGTCGGGTGCCACGCGAAAGCGGCACCAAAACGGGCCTTTAGGCTATCTCCAACAGCACAGACCCAAACCAGAGACCCATTCCATGATTAAGGTCACGCACAGTAAAAGAGTCACGCACCTAGAACACGTCTTCTCCAACAGCCTATGTAAAAGCCCTCGCCAAGCACCGCCCGCTCCTCAGAACGAGGAACGCCGCACAGCCAAGCACCGCCCGCTCCTCGCCACGGTCCTGCCTCGCCGCACCGGCCGCGGACCCACCTCGCCGCGCCGCTGGCTCCTCGCCGCACCCGCCGCGGACCCGCCTCGCTTCTGGCCTTTGCTCCTTGCCGTGGTAGGTGGCTCCCATTGCTGTGATCCGCTTGGCCTGTGGTCGCGCCCGCCACCGACCCGCTCGCCCGCGCCTCGCCTTGCGCTTGGCCGCACCCCGCCCGTGGAGCCATCGAAGCGCCTTGGCGGCTCGCCTTGCTGGCTCGCTGGAGCCGAGCCGGCAAGCGCCGCCGCATGGGCCCACCACTACGGGCGTCAGAGATTTGCGTTGTCTCTCTCGAAGACGCTTATTTGCGTTTCGTCTCGGGTGGTAGGCAAAATGGGTCCTCTGTTTGGGTCTTCTGTTGGACCGTGTTTCTGGAACACTTTGTACGACGTATTTTGTGTTTGGATTGCGCTATTGGAGACCGTCTTAAAACCAGGCTTCATAAACTTAGGGCTCTTGGATGCTACTAAAAATACTGGAACTGACAGACGAGACGAGCCCTTGGTGGACCCTGATCGAGCTCTCGCTGGCTTGGTTTGGTTGGTGACCCACAGTCACAGCGCAGCCACAGCGAGCATGCAGAGACGAACAAGGGGACGCGACAAATGGATGCTGGATCATGTCATGGATTGAGCACATCAGCTAGCTAGGGCCTAGGGACAAGAACAAGGGACAGAGATTGGTGGGCAGTGCAGCCGTGCAGGCGATATGATACGGATGCCGAGGCTAACGCCCGTGCCGCCGCTGGACCGGATGGAACACGACACGAGCCGATGTGCGCTCCGCTCCGGATGGAACACGATGGAAATCGCCAAAAGGATAGGGAGTAGGAGTATATCAATGCAATTATGGGAAAATAACTCAAATTTGATAGAGTTTATAATAAATAATATTATTATTTATGTCTTCAAACAAAATTTATTATAAAAATATATTTTATAACTAATCTAACGGTACTTATTTTATATCGTGAATGATATTAGTTTTTTATATAAATTTAGTTAAAATTTAAACGACTTGACTCCTCGATAAACGATAATTACATTCTTTTCGTGACGGAGTACAAACACATAACGGAACGTAATGAAATGACCAGGGGTGTGTTCTTTTCGTGACGGAGTACAAACACATAACGGAACGTAATGAAATGACCAGGATGGCAGGATGGGTTCGCATACGGAGACGCTGGGCCGAGCCAACTGATGGTTACCACCATCTCAATTCGGACTTCCAATGGACACGCCTCTTCTGAAGTTGGAGCCAAAAAGCCCATCTCTCAGTCAGCACCACTTCGCAGCCCATCTAAGTTAGCAGTTTCCAGGCCACAAGCCCTCAACCAAGAAACAAACGCGAACGATCTGTGGGCTGTGGTCACGCCGACACATATATATATGAATATTCTACCTTCCTCGCTATGATTTTCCTTGTCAGACTCCAAAACCGAATATCTTATTACCACTCAACTTTCAAAACCATTTAAATTATCTTCCTATTCTAGCTTATGATGGTTTCAAAGATGAATTTGATTTTTTTAGTTTTAAAAAACTTAATAGGGTTTTTAAACCATGGAAATATCTCTAAACATTTAAAAATTCCGGAAAAAAATCTAGAGATAGCTTGCGATATGACAAGTGCAGATAAAATATTTAGAGCTCTTGAAAACATCTTTAGAAACTTCAAAAAATGGCTTTGGCTCTACAAAAATAAGAAAAATATCCAAATACATCTAGAAAATTCCCAAAACATTCTAATAGGTATAAACATGTTTTAAAAAATTTGCACGGCAAAAATATGAGATGCAACAAGCAACAATGCAACATACATCTTTGAGCTTTGCAAGCTGTGTACCATGTACACCTCGTACATTTGTAACCTTTGTTCTATTCCTTTTTTAATACAAAAAAGGTGGGGGAATCCCCTGCAGAGCTTTATAAAAAAAAACAATGGAACATACATTAATGTTGAATGTATTCATACAGCTTGCATATTATGTTTTTTTGTTGCAAAAAGTTTTCAAAATACATTTAAATATCGATTATAATATTTTAGTGATTTTCTAAAAGTTTCAATATTCTATTCCATTTTTATAGAGCTGAATAATTTTTTATTTCAAGATGCCCACCCTCACTGTGCGTCACCTATCAGCCGCCGGATACTGGAGGACTGAGATTTATTAGCCATATCAAGCCTAAACGACGACCATGCTTAACCCAAAATTGAAATATGCAGTACATTATTTAAACCCCAATCATTCAACCCCTAAACCACATAAAACGCCACTTCACGCAATCGATTTGTGAAAGTGAAAGACATATGGTAAATCTGGAGAGCAACGAGATTACACTGACTGGTAAAAATGGAAAATAAAAGTTAAATCACTAATCACCCACACCAACAGCCGTGCATGACACCCCGCAACCGTAAAACGAAGGTTAAACTAAACGTACGTAATCCGAATCCGGGCCCCGCGCAGACGAGCAAACAGCAAGCTAATCCCAGCTAATCAAGCGGCGGTGCAGCGCTCGCGCGCGAAGCCGACGCGTCCATTGGGCACGTCGAAGAGGACGCGGTGGTTCTGCTGCTGCATGCTGGCGATGACGTTGAGCACGGTGTTGACGCCGTCGGGCGCCGCGGCCATGGCCAGGCAGCTGATGGTCCCGTACGTGCTATGGATAACCACGTTCTCCTCCGGCAGCGTCACCTGCATGCCGTCGAACAGCAACGTCACGGGCGGCCACGCCACGGCGGTGGTGTTGAAGCACGTGTCGAACCCTCCCAGCGAGGACACGGGCGCGCCGACGTGGCGCCGGACCTCGTCCCGCACAGCCACGTACGCCGGCGCCACCAGCCGGGTGAACATGGTGCCGGAGTCCAGCACGGTGCCCGCACCAGTCGCCGGGTCGAACGCCAGCGCCGGCGCCGGGATGGGCACCACCTTCTTGCCAACGCGGATGCCGGTCATGTTCACGTAGTAGAGCGACGACCGGTGCGGGTTCGCCATCAGCGGCGTCGTCTTGATGCGCTGCGGCTGGCCGTTGCGCCCGAGCCGGAGCGTCCCGGAGAAGTTGAGCGACTTGAAGCTGGGGAGGCAGTACGAGAAGGTGGCCTGGTACATGTCCCTGGTCTGCGACAGGAACGACAGCGGGCCGCGGCCGAGCCCCAGCAGCCCCTGCGGCGGCGCGGCCGTGCCGGTGGCCCTCTGCAGGCACCCGAAGGTGTAGGCCTTCACGGCGTCGCCGGCGACGGTGAGGGAGTCCTGCGACAGCCCCGCCTGCAGCGAGGAGTCGGCGTAGGTGAGGTTGAAGCCGCAGGCCCTGCCGCTGCACGCCGCGTTGGGCGCCTGCGAGCACAGCGGCGAGCCGCAGGGCACGGGTCGGTACGAGGTGGACGCGGCCGGGTCGAAGGGCGGCGCGGACGACGTGGGGCAGCCCGCGCAGCCGGCGCAGGGGATCCACGCGGCGTCGTTGCTGGTGTCGACGGCCAGGAGCAGCTGCTGCGGCGGCGTGCCGAGGCGGGCGCGCACCACGTACGTGGGCGTCTGCAGCAGCTGCCGCCCCGACGCGATGGGAGCGTACGCGCGGGCGCGGCCACGCGCCGCCAGCGAGTCTAGGTACAGCAGCCGCGACGCGTCACGCGACGCCTGGTCCGCCAGGAACCCCGCCCACGACGGCGCCGCCGTCCCGGGGCCCAGCGGCGAGCAGGGACCGAACGCGTGCGACACCTGCAGCGTGTTCCCGGCGTCCGGCGGCGTCGCGGGGCACGACGAGCTCGAGCTCGAGTGCGACGCGGCCGCGCCGCCCGCGACCACCAGCAGCAGAAGCACCGACAGCATCCTAGCACCGGTCATCTCGTGCGCGACTGCAAGAAATGCGTCGACGCGTGGCGACGAAGCGAGTGTGCGAGACGGACGGTAGCGCGACGCCGTGGGCTATATAGCGGCGGGGCACGTGAGCACCACTGAGGTCTAGCGACTGGCGATGAGGGAAGAGCGCGCGCGCCATGGCGCGCCCGTGAAGTTTGGCGTGGACGGACGTATCGCTGTACGTACTGCGTGCCAGGCGTCTGGGTCTGGCCAGGCTGCAGCACCCGCGACTGTGCACGACTCGCCGGGGACCAAGCTGCGGCAGCTCGTGAGCGCAGGCTGTCGCTTCGGCCAGCGGACGCGCTCCACGTCGGTGTCCAGTTTCACGGTGGCTCGTCACAGACTCACAGGATGACAGGAGGCTTGTCTTGGCGCGGCGGCGCCCACGTGGCATGTACGGTGGTCGCAGGACCAGGAGGTGGACCTGGTTCATGGGCTCCCGTCTCTGTGCAGAAGGCCGGCCGGTGCATGGACATGGTGGACTGAGTGTACCATCCGCGATGCACTCTGGGCCGGGGACGGTAACCGACTAACCGTGTCCGTGAGAGAGCTAGCGTTAGGGATGAAAATGGTCCAAAACGGTCGAAAAATCCCTCAACTGTTTTCTACATTTACATTTGAATATGAAAATAAAAGTAAAAACAGTAAAGTTGGACACGAAAACGAACACGAACTTACGGAATATCGAAAACGAACCAATTTAAGCGGAATTATGTAGAATACGGTCGGTATACGAAAATTCAATACGAAATACCGACCCGTAGAGTCCATAACAATTAACAAGTGCATGACCCAAGCACATAACAATTACCAAGTGCATGATCCAGTTCAAACGCATATAATAATTAACAAGTGCATGGCCTTTGGTCTTAAGTATTAACACAATAGCTGACAGCCTGACACACAAATACAAGTCTAGAACAAGCAATTAACACTAACAGATAACAAAACATCTACAGTCATCAGCATCATCCATGAGGTCAGGATCACTTTCCATGTCTTTTGCTTCCTCATCCCCCTCCTTGTCATTTTCCTACAAGTTTGCAAAGTGAATTCAAATTAGATGTAGCAACTAGCATATTTCAGAGCAAGCAATCAATAAACATACCTCAATTTTTAGTTTAGCCAAACATTAGTCAAAGCCTCAACCTCAAGATCACTCGCAATTGATCCAACCATTTTAGAATCTGAAAAAAAATGAGAAAGGAAAATAATCAATGCATTATTCTACTGCAATTATAAATGTGTCTAACTAAAAAATCAGATAAAATGAGCACCTTTTCTTGCTGCAGCAACCCAATCCTTTGTGCAAATTAATGCATGTATCATCTCAAGATCAAGACGACTACGATAGGGATCAACAACACGACCAGTAGCACTAAAAGCAGACTCGGGTGCTACTGTTGATACCTGTATGGCCATTACATCCCGAACAATTTGCGAAAGGATAGGATATTGTTCTCTCTTGTTTTTCCACCATGCTAAGATGTCAAACTCACCAACAGTTTTCAGAAGTGGTTCTGCAATATACCTCTCCAACTCATTTGACTCAACCATAGCAGGTTCACTTGCATCATATAAGAATTCTTCTACATCATGGTCTACATCTCTCATTAATATATCAGCTGTGTTACTAGGTCCAGGTGCAGCCCCTTTACTATTTTTCTTTGATGACGCAGGAGCAAAATTAACATAAAAGTTGTACAGTTTCTTTACCACGGTAACAAACTCATAGAGTTCAACTTGATAATGATCACCATAGAACTTCATCATGTAGTACTCTATCAGCCTTTTCTTATACCTACGATCAAGAAAATAGGCTACAGCTAGAGCAATGTTGGACTGCTGCCAATATTTGTCAAATTGTCATATCTCTAATTGTAGCATCTCCACTACAGCACCAGTCGTCAAGCAAGAGCTTTATATCACAGAAACCTCTATAAAATAAGTTTGTAGTAGGATATGAAGTGCTAGATAGAATTTTAGTGAGATTATAAAATTTCTTCAAGCAACCATAAATTGTTAATGCATTGTCTCATTCAGCAGAAGATGGAGAAATCTTGGCATACCTACTGCGATTTGAAGACTTCAACCTAATAAATGCATCCTTGTAGTACAAGGCATCTCTTAGCATTAGGTATGTAGAATTCCACTTGGTTGAAACATCCATCGAGATACCCCTCTTTGTATCCAACCCAGCTTCAGTGGCACGCATCATAAGCTCTTCCCACTGCAATAGAGACCCTTTCACAGCTAGTACAAGTGATTTGACCTTGCTGATTGTTCCTGAAATGACTTTCAACCCATCTCTAGCAACCAAATTGAGAACATGGCAGACACATCGAACATGAAAAAACATCCCATCACAAACTAGGGAATTATTAGCATTCTCTTTCAGATCTAAAATTATATCGTTGACAGCCACTTCATTAGAACTAGCATTATCTAAAGTCAAAGCAAACAGTCTATTTTCAATGTACCATTTAACCATAACTTCAGTGAATGACTCAGACAACTTTACACCAGTATGCCTTCCCTTTACATTGAAGAAACCAATAATTCTCTTTTGCATACGCCAATTATCATCTATTCAATGAATAGTAACACACATGTATCCTTTATTTTGGCATGAGGTCCACATATCCATTGTTGCACTAAAGCGGCACTTGATAGTTTTCAAGTGTGCATACAATGTTTCCTTTTCTTAGATATTTGTCCATTATTTCTTTCCTAACAGTGACACGGGACTTTATTGGAAAGCTAGGACGGAGAGATTTTATGAAATCAACAAGATACTCATGCTCAACTATATTGAAAGGATATTCATGCATGGTTATTGCCAAATTCAATTTCTTCAAGCTAGCTTCTTAGTCATATTTGAAAGGCTAAACATGAGCATTTTCAGTACCAGGGTTCTTACCAACTTTAAGCTGTTGTTGTCCCTCCACAATACTGTGCTTTGACTTCAAATGGTTCTTAAATGCAGTCGTCCCACATACGCCCTCAGCTCTGTACCTCTAATTGCAATTAGCGAAATTACAGTATCCCCATAGCTGCTCAAACTGCTTTCCCTCCGCCTCTACAATCTCCTTTTTCTTGGTGAAATACTTCCGGACAGACGATGTGCATTTCTTGAACCTCTTGCCATAAAGGTGAGCCTGCTCTTCATCCTCGTCATCATGGTCATCATCATCGACATTAATTGAAGTTGTGGTCGCTGGAGTTGTGGTTGTTGCTGGTGCACCAGTGCCACTGCCACTGTAACTGGTGTCAACATTTGGAGCAGAAGAACCCATCACTGATGCTGCTACTGATACTGTTGTTGCTGGACTTTCACAAGTTCCACTGGAGCTAATACTTTGAGACGAAGGCCTTTTACTCCTTGATCCTACCAAGAGCCAAGTGAAACATTGCTAAATCAGTGCATGCCGGTCCCAAATAATCAAGCAAAAGGTCCTAAATAGCCAAGCTTCATCAATAGCAAAAGCAATAATCAAGCAATATGTCCCAAATTAGTACCTGCTGCTGGAGAAGCCGTTGCTGCCGGTGTCGCTGCCGCTGCCGATGCTGTCGACGGCGCTAGAAGCTGGCGCACACTCTTGGTCTTGGACTTGCCCTTGATCTTCGTTCCAGGAGCAGAACCCCCTTCTCCAGCTCCCGTGGGTGCCATCGATGGCCAGGGTGGCGGCGCTGCCTCGTGGCTTGGTGGTGGCCGGTGGCGCTGGCGGGCTAGGGACTGGGGAGTGGGATGGGGACGCGGGCGGCCAGTGGGGTCGGGTGGATGCACGGCCGTGGAAGAGGCACTGCCGTTGCGGACTCGCGGTCGCGGTCGCGTCGCCTGTCGCCACTCGCGCCGCGCGGGAGGGATTAGGGGCGCCGGCAGGGATCCATGGACGGATAGGGTCCAGGGAGGAATCGGAGGAGTGGAGGACTGAGGAGATTAGGGTTGTCATTGGGTTAGGTTGTAGAGTGGGCTGTGCCGTGCGTACTGCGTAGTGGACCAAATTCGGTTTAAATCGAATTTAGAAAACGGTACACTCCGAATTAAACGTAGAAAAGTAGAAAACGGTCGGAAAAAAGCTAAACCGTTTTCGAATTTGATAGTCCGAATTTCGAACCGAATTCGAATTTGTCTGAAAATGCAAAAGCGATAGATTCAAATATAGAAAACGATGCGGTTCGGTTCGAAATATTTCGGTACCGTTTTCATCCCTAGCTAGCATGACATTCTGTTCCGGACGAGACGATCGAGATGCCGAATCGAGAATGGCGCTGCGGAGTAGCCGCCTACGTTAGAGACAGAAATGGATCCGCGTCGAGCACGTCGAGGCGAAAGGGGGCCACAAGCTCACAGAGCCTGTTGTCGCCGTAGCACGGGCCCGTCGGCCTGCAGGTGGGCCACGGGCAGGCGACCACGCCGGCAGCCTGGCATTGCCGGATGACGTGCTCGTCAGTTTTTTTTTATGACGTGTCAGTCGTCATCAGTGAAAGGAAATAAAGCTGGTGCTGTGGAGTTGGCTACGTCGGCTTTCACCGCCGTCTCGGGCTCACGCATGCTCGCGCCAAGGCGAAGCCGTCTGCTTGTGGTTGTTCCGGGCATCTGGCCACAGGTACGACGCGCGCACGCCATGATCCTGGGGATCTTGGAGGGGTGTCGCCTGTGGGCGGTCGGCACCCGGCACAGCGTGCATCGGATCGCATCCAAACCAGATCGACCAAGCACTGTAGTTACCGCCTTGCCTAGCGCTAGCGGTGTGAGATGGATGGGTGCCTAGCAAGGCATCGCATGGGTCATGACTGCCCGCTGGCCCCACACCCATAGATGTGTTGGTATATATAGCGGCTATTCCGTAAAAAAAAACAATATGTTCCAGCCGCATGTATGGACCAATGTAACAAAATTGAGAGATGGAGGAGGAAGTCCAACTTGGGTATCTCTGAATCACTATGGCCGAGTTAGGGACTATTTTGTAGAGCTATGTCTG